TACAGGTAATTTTTGCCAGGAGGAAGGGTTGATGGCAGTTGAAGGACGCGACGCGAAGCGGCGCGGGCGCGAGTCGCTTACGCACGTCCACGAGTTCACCTGTGTCACGCCGTCACGTCGCGCGCCGCGCCGCGCACGGCGCACGTCCAGTCCAACAGCTGTGCATGTCTGCGTGTGTCTGCACGCGACGCCGTGCCCGACACCGGCGGGCGCACACCAGGAGGCGGGGGCGCAGTAACAGGTGGCTCCGCGTCGCGGCAGGTGAATCGTCGGACCAGCTCGGACTGGCTTTTTTTGTGCGCTTCGCTCGACCACGGGTTCCCCCGCTCGTTCCCAGTCACCCATCATCTTCCATTGTTTCCGCGCTGCTTATCTCGATCTTACGTTCGCTCCGAATCCCGTGGAGGATCGCACCAGGTGGACCAGCATCCCGTTCGCCATCCCAACACTGTGCCGTTCCCCGCAGTTCCTCGTACGTAGGAATGACGTGCTCGATGACGCGACGACGTTACAGCTGGACGGCGCCCTGAGGTGAGGCTCAACGACGTCGTCTACGTCGGCGCCGAGGAAGCGGCAATTACGTGGAGTCCCGTCGCATCTGCGTCGACGGTACACCTCTTGATAGACGCATGAAAGATCGGAGCTGCAGCAAGATCAAGAGCGAGACAATGCCGCCGTCCTCGCACACCAACTGGACGAGGCCGTTGCTCAAGAGCGGACAGACAATGCAGATGCAGGCTGCTAAGCAGCAGCCGACGACGGTAACAATGGCGACAACAACGTCCTCGATGGCTATTAGCACTGGAGCACAAAATCAAAACACAGCGGAGCATCCTGTGACACCGCTTGACAAGAGAATCAAAGTAGTCCTAGTGGGCGATGGTGCGGTCGGTAAGACCAGCTTGGTGGTCTCGTACTCCACCAATGGTTTTCCTGGAGAATACGTGCCAACTGCATTTGACAATTACAACGGTGTGTATACTTTTTGCATTTCTTTGTTAATGATGCGGCTGTAGTCTTTAGGATTGTGATTTGTGGGTATGCTTTGTATATATCTTGAATCAACATATGTATCTTGTATAAAGTGTAATTTTTAAAGAGTAATATAAGCATGATAAATGTTATAAGATATTTACATTATTTACCTTTACTTTTATCCTAATTGATCTCTTAATTTAAATTTTAATTATACCATTTAACATTTTATTCTGAGCAAATAGATAAGAATGTATGTATCATTAACAGATAAGGATATATCAATTCAATAATACTAATATCTTTGTAATATCTATCCAGTGGTCGTAAATGTCGATGGACAACCATTGAATGTCCAGTTATGTGATACAGCAGGCCAGGATGACTTTGACCCTCTGAGATCGTTGTGTTATCCCGAGACAGATGTGTTCCTAGTTTGCTTCAGTGTTGTATGTCCCTCGTCTTATCACAGTGTGGCTTCCAGATGGATCAATGAAGTGCGAAAATACTGTCCTAATGCTCCAATCATTTTGGTACGATTTATGTCCAATTATAATATAATTTTCTACACATTATATATATATATATATATTTTTTTTTTCTAATATTCTAATCAAATTCATAAGAATTTTTATCGATACTGCCATAATGATATTAGAAATGATACAATTATAATAGTAATTATAATATGTAATATAATATAGTAATAGTAATTATTTAGTAAAGTAATAACAATAATAATAATAATTATAATATGTATTAAAATAAAATATATATTATATCGCCGCGTTGATAGAAAAGTGATACATAAAAATTAGCAACTCTTTTCAGTAGATTATTTTTTAAGTTCTCAATTGGAACATTTTAATTGGCTAGTGAATATTTATCATTTTACTTTCTTTCCATGTTATACTTTCAATTATGTATTGAAAAGGGTCGAAATATTTGCAAGTAAATTATATCCCATGCTTCCTTGATATTTATTGATTATGAAAAAATTCGACTATGATGACGAAATATACATTTCTGTGAAATATATTTCATTAATTGTAAAAAATGAATTAGATGGTTTATTTGTTAGAAATAAAATTGTATTTCGCCGTCTTTAAATAAAAATTTATTTCAGTAAAATAAATATTATATCTCACAAATAAGGTTTTAAAATATTTTTTTCTTAAGCCTTGTGTCCACGATGCTAGAAATCGGTCCAAGATCTCGGACAGAGAAAAAATTAACAAATCACATTTGAACAATTTGATCA